GCCTTCTCTTGTGAGCCTCTTTGGTTGATCGGACAGTAAGGAGCATCTCTCCCTGTGATCTTAATTCCAGGGCAGGTACGTATGGGACAAAACCAGCGGTCATTTCCTGCAGGAGCGGAGCTCCGGCACTAAAGAGCCCAGGGGGCAGGCACATGCAACATGCCCCACCCCCTGCTCCCAGAAGCCCTCAGTCAGAGCAAGAAGCAGACAGGTAAGTTGCAGAGCTCCCCCCGGTTCAAAACAGTGGCACCTTTAAGACCAGGTTTTATTCAGGTTCAAGCTCTCCCTCCTCTGCGAGGACAGATCTGCACGTTCCTCCCCCTCCCCCAAATAGCTAGCAATCCAAAACAGTCCAGTGGCACCTTTAAGACCAAGTTTTATTCAGGTGCAAGCTCTCTCTCCTCTCCCTCCCCAATAGCTAGGATTCCAAAACAGTCCAGTGGCACCTTTAAAACCAAGTTTTATTCAGGTACGAGCTCTCCCTCCTCTGCGAGGACAGATCTGCACGTTCATCCCCCCCAATAGCTAGCAATCCAAAATAGTCCAGTGGCACCTTTAAGACCAAGTTTTATTCTCAGACTTTGTTCTATCGCTTCAGACCAACACGGCTACCCACCTGAATCTGTCTTGCACTGAGTTTGGGAGTGGATCAGTAGCCAGCGTAATTGCTGTAGTATTGGGGTCATATGTTCCCAGTAGCTGGCCCCGACCATCAGTCTAGCCACAGCATTCTGCAGCCTCTGAACACTCTTCAAGGGTAGCCCCAAGTGCAGCACATTGCAGTAGTCCAGACTCGATGTAACTAAGGCATGGATCACTCTGGCTAGACGTGACTGAACCAGGAATGGACACAGCTGATGCACCAGCTGAAGCAATCACGGTGGGGTTGTCTTTCCTCAGCTGCCGTTACTATTTCCGCTCTGTGCTTTGAAGGGTGGGGAACAGGCAAGATCAAAAACCACCCGTTCACAGGCTTTCTCTGTTGTGGACTCACCTTGTGGAATGGCCTACCTGAGCAGGTCAGGAAGAAGAAGAGAAGAGATTGTGGCTGACCCAAGGTCACATCAGCAGGTGCAAGTGGAGGAGTGGGGAATCAAACCCGGTTCTCCCAGATTAGAGTCCGCACACTTAACCACTACACCAAACTGGCACTACACCAAAAGCTTGAAAGGTGCTTGGATTATTTTGAGTGTTATTCTCTGTGGAGTGACTCATAATTTTATTTAAAATAAGATGCTCCCAAAGCTTGTTCTGCCACATTCAAAGGGCTGGGCCTGAAGCGTCTCTCCATTTCTTTCCAATTACTATTCTTGTCGTTGTTAAAAGAGAAGAAACTCATTTTGCTTTATATACATTTCCCATTGAATTTAAACCATGGGAACGAAGTGCAGTTTCAGGCAACTCAGGTGATCTAATTCCAGTAATTATACCTATTTGTTGTAAAATCTGACAAGGCTGTAAGTCTTGAAGGCGCTCCTGGGCCCTTGCTCAGATAGACCAGCATGGCGGCCCATCTTGCTCACAAGAAATTTTCAATAAAGGTAATCCGGGGTCATTTCGTAGAAAAAGAGGTGCAGGAGCTCATTAGCATAACTCATTAGCATAACGTATTTGCATACGCCACACCCCCTGACATCACCAGAAGTGTGTCAGAAGGCAACACCCACCGGCTCAGGCTCCACTGGACTGTTTTGGATTGCTAGCTATTGGGGGGGGGGGGACATGCAGATCTGTCCTCGTAGAGGAGGGAGAGCTTGTACCTGAATAAAATTTAGTCTTAAAGGTGCCACTGGACTGTTTTGGACGGGGGGGAGGAGCTCTGCAACTTACCTGACTGCTTCTTGCTCCGACTGAGGGCTGCTGGGAGCAGGGGGTGGGGATTGTTGCA